CAATTAGTGAAATTCTACTTGGAACGGTCGAATAGGCTGAATCTGATTAAGGATGTTTTTACTTGGATTGAAATTGAGAGAATTTCCCGAATAGGAGTAAAAACGTTTTGAAATTCCCAAATAGGAATATCATGTTTTTTATTCCCTGAATATGAGTAATTTTTTTCCAAATTTGAGCATTACGCGGCTTTGAACATGGCATTTTTTCCAAACTTGGCATTTTACTCCTATTCAGGGAATAAAAAACATGATATTCCTGTTGATGTTTATTCCTTCAACATTCGGGTCCAACACGTAAGCCCAAAGATTTCGAGTTGAGCGGTGTATGTGTGTATGAATAGGCTAGGCCAACAAACAACAAGATAAATCAAGAAACATTAAATAGCAAGTAAGAGTTTAGGTATTATTAATCAGTTAATAACTCCCCGATACAATACGCTTGATAAGTGCCCGTTGGCCGTACGTTTTATTAGGCGGTAGAAGAGCTGCGAGTAAGGGAATATGAGCTAGAATGCTAAGAACACTTCTCACATGATCCGCTCAATATATATAAATATGCATGCACACACATTATATTTAAACGAATAGAGATCAAATACAAAGCCTTCTTAATTTACAAAGTACAAACTCATCTTGACCGTCCAATGAGTTGATCCAAAGGACATAAAGGCAATGTGGCGTTTTTGTAATAAACCCAACTTTTTAGGGTGCAACTCGTAGCACTTTAATGTGCAACTATTATTTTTGTGAATTTATAATGTGCAACACTTTGAACCTCAATATGCAATGCAAAATAACGTCAAGGTGTATCGTACAAATATTTGCACAATAAGCACACTTTGTACTTGATCTTTCCCCATATTTAAACTTAGATTAAGTAATTAGTTATTGAAAAAAGCATGCTAGATGAAGACTTTGCATTCTTCTATTTAGTGACAAATTTTTGTGGCGGAAAATGGCCGCCGGCAATTGGTGGCGACCAATCCGTCATAAATCTCCGTCACTAAACAGCGGCGAACTGTATCCGTCACTAACATCTGTCACTAATCAGTGATGGACACAATCTGCCATTAATTTGTGGCGGATAGGATTCCGCCACTATTTCCGCCACTAAATAGTGACGGATTCAAATTCCGTCACTAAATTCCGCCACTAAATTATGAATTTCTTGTATGTAGTGTTTATGTGACAAAAGAAATATCTCTTTAATGTAATACGGAGTAATAGATTAGAATATTGATACATAGTAAATTAGTAATTACATCACTAAATTGTAAAAATTAGAAGCAAAGGATTGCTTGCTGTGATAATCTTTATTCTTTAATTTGCATTGGGACTGCAAAAGAAGCTCCTATAGCTAGTAATTTAAGATTCAGGCACCCTAAAAGCATTAATTACCAGAATACAAATTGAATAGATTAGAGAGCTTATCAGAATTTAGAAGGGACTGACCTGTTCTTTACCATGGCATGAAGCCAACACGGAGAGTACAACTAAATAGGAGGCAAACAATTCCATATGGAGATGCTTCATAGCTACTAACTAATACGTACCAATTTTCAGGTTTAATTGAGGGACTGAGATTATTAAGATACATATATAGGGGTTTGGATATGATCAGAACAGTGCAGAGAGACTTTTAATCCTCGTTGGTCACTATAATTGTTTTAGGGAGTGTTTGGAATTGATCGATTCTACTTTTTTTCAAAAGTAGAATTAGAATCAGAATCAATTTTTCAGCAACTGATCTCCCCAAGTAGAATTAGAATCAATTTTTATGAGCAATTTGGAGCATACAAAAGTATTCTTCACTTTTACCCACACTCTAATATTTGTTTCTGCTCCGTGAGTGAGTAGAATCAGTTTTTAGAAACTGATTCAGACACACATTAATCAAACAGACGTCGATTAGAGAGGTTAGGACATGTAAGTTACGATATAAACTTTGAACACAATATTTTAATGTTGTCAATGACTTTTTTATTAATGATATTTAAGGAAAGATTCCTTCTTTTTAATCTTTCTTGTTTTTTTTTTATTATTTAAAAAACCTAGTATTTTTGTTTTAACATTTACTCCGTAGTCCGTAGTTCTTATTATGAATATAGCAAAGGTAGTATTTAGGAATAGAGACTACTACTTGCTTCTATTGTGACAATTCGAAACACAATCACATCATAAATATGTAAGAATAAATACAATTTTACGGTAATACTTTAATTATTTAGAGAAATAAAAGCACATACCTGATTTCATTGCATTGTTACAATTTAATACTACGTATTAATTACCCTTGTTAAACGCATATGCATGCGCATTACTACCGTAAAAGATACGTCATACGTGCAATATACCAAGTCAAAAGGTTAACATTGCTATAATTAGGTCAAATTTGAGCCTTTGAGTTACCCAAAAAGCATAGAGTAATGCGTCGTGTACACAGCGTTATACACGCCCGTGTACACGCTTTAAAAACCCAAGTTTTTACTGCCTTTCATTTGACATTTTGACCCATTCCCATCTCTCTTCAAGTGCTCCCTCCCTTTTACGCTACCCCTTCCTCTGGTTCCTCGATATTTATTCTTCTTTCTCGCTGTAAGCTCTTCTTCTCCCTTTCTTTTTTCTTTTCATTCTTCGGTCAGACTTCAACTCTCCTCCTCTAAATTCATATTTCTACACACAACTTATCATCCTCTAGTTCTTCTGTCTCTTTTCCGATTTTTGACCCACTTTTTTTCTCAATTCATTCCAGATTTTTTGTGCAATTTGGATGATATGTGTTCCCTTTTTTTCATTTTATGTATACAATACATGTTTCTATAATGTTGATTGCTTATTATGTTGTTATATTAGTATAGATCTGTGATGTTTATAAGTTGGATTTCTTTTTAACTTTTATGCCTATAAAGTGTTTGTAGAAATGCTTCAATGAACTCTTTCATTCATATCCATTATTTTTTTGTGTTTTTCTCCTTAGTTAATATGTTTGTGTTTGATTGTGGTTTAACGTTTTGACTATTTTGTTTGATTATTATGATTTTTAGTTTGTTATTGAGATATGAGTCCTTAAATTTTACAAAGTATTGTTAAGAAATTTAATATATTTAAATGCTAATTTCGAATATATAGCTTGTAAACTAATTTCATGCTTGTAATAATTGCTGTCGTGCTAAATAATAATACCGACGAAATCCTTACTTGTTCAGTCACCACTTTCGTTTGTGAAGATGTTATTTAACTATTGATTTTCACTATTTGTGTGGTTGATTATTGTGGTTATAATCTAAGAATTCATTATAATCTTGGTTTGTGCTAGCTTTGTCTACCAAAAATACCATTATGAATTGTACTTAATATTTGAACCTCTTTTTTTGATAGAATATCTGGTTGTATTATTTGAAGATGCAGATTATCATCGGATTTTGAGTTCCAATTGTGACAAAACCAATACACGGACAAACAAAAGGTTTATGGATGTTTAATGTGCTCCAATGCAAGAATGAGAAGGTCAAAGCACATGACAAATTGATAACTAAGTACTTCCTCCGTTCTTAAATAAATGCAACGGAGGTAGTATTTAATACTTGTAATAGTTTAGTTTGTAAAGTTAATGTAATTGTATTTAGAATGTAAGTGTACTTAGATTTGCTTTATTTTGAGAGATGTATCTTATACGTTATAAAAAATGCATGGTATGTCATTGGTGTTATTGGATTTCAAACATAAGTGTAGTAAAATTTTTTGTGGAATATAATAGTTGTGTGACAAAAAAAGTTTTTTTTTTTTTTTTGCATTTGGAAAAGCAACATTTACATGACATCTTACTCTTTTTACCTCACATAATCGAGCATTTAGTCCATACGAATCACTTAGGTGTGGTTATGAGCTGTGCAAACAAAATAAACCCACACACAGGCAATATTTATTGTCTATCCACAAATAAAATAAACTAATACACAGATAATGGTTTAATCGTGCATAGACAATATAATCAGAGATATATACGATTCTTCGACTATGCGCGTACAAAATAAACAAACACATAGACAATACTTCAATCACGCACAAACAAAATAAACAAACGCATAAACAACGATTATTGTCTATGTACAGACAAAAGAAACGAACACACAGACAATTCTTTAACCATGCACAAACAATATAAACGAAGATATAGACGGTGTTATGACTATGCTTAGACAAAATAAATGAACACATTGAAAATACTTTAATCACACAATCCACCTTAAGACTTATATAGAAATTGTCTATAGACAGACAAAACTTGCATAAAAATTGTTTGTACATGCACAAACAAAACTTATACACAAACACTTGATTAAAATTATGTCCATGTGTTTTATTACATTGTCTGTGAGTATTAAATAATTGTTTGTGTGTCATTTATATTGTTTGTGCCCTGACAATATATACTCCGTAGTTGGTTATAACAAGAAAATTTTATCTTTGTGTGTCCAGACAAATATTATCTCGACACATTTAATAATTTATCTTTGTCTGTGTATAAATAATAATTATTGTGTATATAGTCGTCTGTGTGGGGTTGACGTATTGTTTGTATATTTGTTTATTTTGTTTGTGCCCACACAATATTTTTATCCAGACACATATAAGTATTGTTTGGGCACATAAAAATAATTTGTTTTTAAGTGCATATGCTTAGGTAAATTACTTCTTGACGCAAACAACAATTACTTGGAAAAATATTCTAGTCTAGATAGTGATTGTCTAGGTCTCTACAATAATTGTCTGTAGAGGAAAGTTACCTTCGTAAACACACTTAGAAGTTATGACATGTTATCAATGTATGTTTCTTATTTGGTATGAAGAAGTAATTTACCTTTATTAGCAAATACACTTTGGAAACAAATTATTCTTACGTGTGCCCAAACAATACTTGTATGTGTCTAGACAAAAATATTGTCTGGAAACAGACAATATAATATGCTTACGAAATATAATTTTTTTCCTTATGCAGACAATTATTAAATATACACAAACAATAGTTATCATGCATAGACAATATTTATGCATAGAAATAACCTTTTATGTGCTAAGAAGAAAGAAACCTCGGTACATGTTTGTGTCTAAAGGTACATGTTTGTGTCTAAAAATATGGCTTCTCTTATAAATACTGCATATTTCATCTCCTACAACTTATAGCTATATTTAATGCAACCAACACTTCATCTGCCTCATAACAAATACATAATAGGCCTGAAAATGTAATTGAGTGTTTGAATTGAAAATTGAAATTCATACTAAAATGGGCAGGAGGAAAACATGAACATATCCTATCAAACTACACTTTCATTCCAACATTTTATCAAACATATTGTGGGCAGGAGAAAAAACTCAACTAAACAAAAATGTTCTAATGTTAGACAACATCATCTCCGGTGATATCATGGAGATATCCCACCTCCAGCTCTTCGAACCTCAATTCCATCGATCTCGTTGACTACAAGTAGGTGAAGGCCGCCGTGACAGCCACCGTGAAAGCCGCCATCGTGATCTAGAACACTCTGTAAGAGATCGAACATCTCCCAACTTCGTAGTAGGTTAAATTTTAATAACTTTACTACATAAAATAGAAGAAAATGAACAAGTTGAGAGGAAATTTTTGGAGAAGGAAAGAGATTGTGGAGGAATTGAGAGCTTAGAAAATGGGGACTGTGGAAGAATGGAGATGCACGATAGATAAGATTAGGAGAGAAATGTGAGAAGAGTGGAATTGGGAGAAAATGAGTGGGGTAAAAAATAAAATAAAGGAAGGGTAAAAGGAGAGTCTTATATAGCGTGTAATGAAGCGTGTATACGGGCGTGTACATAAAGCATTTTCCAAAAGCATATGCCGAAGTCAATGAAGATCAGGTTAGAGGCCAACTTTATGTTCCTTTGACTAAGCTGGTAATCATTAGGTATAGGAGGAAAATCCAAGGGAAATTTACACGAATAGACCAAAACGCAGAAATAATACGTAGTACTACGTATCACTTTTGTTAAGTTTTATTTTTCTTTTCAGAAATAGACTAGTTAAGTTTGTACTCGTATTTTCAATAATAGACTCTTTCCTAAAACAGTCATTATACGGCAACTAGTAATCCGTAGATCATCAGGAGTCGGGACGACGGGACATGCTTACTAGTACTCCGTGGATCATCAGACATCAGGACATGCTTTTTTATTGCTACTCTAAAATTTAAACCTGAGTTTAATTTATACTCTATCACAATTTAAAGAGAAATTGAAATTATCTGGGACTAAATCATGGTTAAAACTCCAAAATAGGACTTCAAGTTTTAAATTGCTTAAATGGGACTCCAGATTACAATCTTACCCTTCTACAATTAAAACCCCGGTTCCGCTGCAATTCATCGATCCTGGCATCGTCGCTCTGCGATCTTCTTCCCCAATCTGCCATAATCTGCCGGCCAGGTAACCCCCTTTTCTTTTTCCTCCTCCTTCCTCTTCTTCTCTTCTTCTTTCTCTTCTTCTTTTCTCCTCCTTCTCAACCTCTACAGTTTACTGGTATTCTGTTATCTTGTTCTTTTGATTTCAATTTTATTCATAAAGAAGGAATCGAGAATGCCATAAAATTATCAGTGATTTGAAAACTGTCAATTTTATGACATTGCATTTATGAAGATGACAGTTTTACCCTGAAATTTAAAAAATTTAGATAAATGCCATAATTGATGTTACTTATTTGTAATAATGTCACTTTTATGACATTACATTTGTCAAGGTGAGAGTTCAAGAAGAAAATGACATATTCAAAGAGTAATAATGCCATTCACATGACATTTTCGAAACAAAGATGACATATTTAAAATGTCAGTTTTTTTAGTGACAATGCCAGTTTCATGGCATACTGTCATCAGATAAATGTAATGGCATAAAATTGACATTTTTCTAATTGCTAGTAATTTATGGCATTTTGAGGTTCCAAATTAATCAAAATTAATAAACAAATAAACAATAATTGAAATCTAAAGAAAAAGAAAACAAAGGACCCAGTTTGAAGAGGATGTGAACGAGAAGATAAAAAAGAAAAGAGGAGGAAGAAGAAGAGAGAAGAGAGAAGAGGAGAAGAGATGGAGAGGAGAAGATTTGGAGAAAATTACCTGGATGTCTTGGAGAAGAGCAGGCAAGCGGCCTTGGCATCTTCATCGCAAATTGCTGCTGGCCTTCATCGCAACACTACAAGAATTTTGACTAAATGTGACAACAAAATTTGTCACATAAACTTCATTTTTCGTCACTAAAACTTAAATATGACGACTTTTATTTGTCACAGTGTTCGTCATCGTAGCTCCGTGGCAAAAGAAATATGTGACACTTTTCGAATTCGTCACAATTTATCTATATTTGGTGACGATTTAGCTCTTTGTCACCAATACTAGTATGTTTTAATGACAATATATATGTCACTTAAACGTTAATATTTTTGTCATCAAAGTAGTAATTTTGTCATCTTTGCTTAACACAATAGATGACAGCATATTATGTTGTCAATAAAATGTATTATATAGTGACAATTAACATTGCGTCATAAAAAAATTCAAATATAGTGACAATAAAATTGTCATAGTAAAGTCACATAATTTGTCATTGTACAAGAAAAATCGTCATCAACTGTACCTATTTTAATTACAATTTTTTGTCACTTATAAAGTATTTATGCCAACCATCCAAATTGTCATCTAAACAATAAATAATGACAAAGTAGAATTGTCAATAAAAGATTATTTAATGATGAAAGTAATCGTCACTTTTATGAATACACTGTTTTAAATTGTCGCAAATGATCAAACTAATAATCAAACTGTTATAGATCATACAAATGGCTAAGCTTCAAATATATCTACAAAAGTATAGGCCAGTATATCAAGTTGAAACATATGTCTAGATTCTCGGCCATGATCTTTGGACATCTTCTTAAGCATTGATTTTCTCCTTCAGCTACATACAACTTGACATCAAGCTCTTTCTTCAGAAGATCATCCCTTTATATATTTGTGACTCATTCTACCTGCAAAATCAACATGATTACGTTGTTGTGGTCCAAAATACTTCTTAATTACATCAATATGGGGTAATATTAGTTGGATCTGATTGAAGTACCTTCATGTGTTTTCTCTTAAATGATCTATTTATGTGTTAAATAAAATATCAAGTTATAATTAATAAGAAACACAGGACATTAAACCCGTGTACTCGCATGTTTCTGCATTATATTGCTTTCAATATTAAGCGAGAGAAACATCCTCGGCTGCGGCACCGGATTGGCAAAAATCTATTGGTCGCCGATTGCCTCACTCATACTGGTTGCATATTTAGTAAATTTTCAACCACACCTGTCAAATTAAAACTAAAAAATATGTAGCATCTGTTATCTGCTGGAAGCACTGGATCCCAAAACCAGTGATTAGCATCCTTGCAAGAGAAGGAGGACTCGTAAGCTCCCGCCACAACTATTATCCTCATAGTCATCAGCATTTGTGGTCCCCATCCCAGCAGCGCCTTTGATTCCATTCAACAAATTAAAGAATTTAAATTGTCGCATTCAAAAGGGGAATCATATTCAGAATACAATAATGAAGTGTAAACCTCTTTCTCTTTTTGAGATTACTATCAGTTTTTACCTGCTAACAATGCAACAAATTTTAATGTCATTTTTGAAAAGTCTAGTAGTAGATCAAAAATTGGATCATATAAGCAAAACATCACAATCACATATCAATTGGAGCTTTATAAAATTTCAGTAGCAGCAGCAGACATTTCCATGTGTATACTTGATTAAATAATGACAAACATATACTAAACAACTTCATACAAACATACTCATCAATCCTGGCATACATTAGATTATTTATTTAGCGTCATATCCGTATATTATTACTGTATTTCCATTTAAAATGTTAAATCCAAATGGCCAAATTATATGTGGTGTTTGTTGGGGAGTAAACTGGTGTACAAAATAATAATTAATGAATAAGAAGAACTAAATTTTCAAAATTACACCATATAAACATAAACTTCAATATTAGTTTTATAAAATAGAAAAAATATTAAACATTCCTAAAATGAGTAATAATTTAAACAAAAAAGTTGAGATGATAAAGTATTTAGAAATAAACCTTTAAAAAGAGAAGAGGTGGCGGCCAGGGGGGAGGAGATGGAGGAAGCGGTTGAGCTGAAGTGGCGGCTTTTTTTCTAGACTAGGAATTGAAGGAGGCGACTGTCGGCTAGATTGGGACAGAAGGCGACATCGGCTATGCTGGGATGGCACCGGCGGCTTCTATCTCGGAGGGCGGCGACAAATTTTTCCAATGAGGGCGGCGACATCGGCTTACTCTCTATACCGGAGGCTTGTTTTCTAGACTGGGAGAGACGCAGACCGTAGGTTCTCTCTGGTAGGGGATCGTCGTAGTTCTCAGATTCAGAGGAGGCGGCAGATTGGGTTAGGGATGAGGGTTTACACTTTTTATGATATGGCTTGGGGTTAGGATTGTTGTATACGGTAAGCTGCAGAGAAAGTTTTATGAGTATTTGCTCCGGTCTTACTCGTAACCGCATCAAATAAGTGGAAAACTTCAAGTATTTGTTGCGGTTCTGACTTGACCGCAACAAAAAGTATCACTTTTTCTAACTTTTTGCTGCGGTCGTAATAAAACCGCAGCAAATACTTATAAATTTTGCCTATTTGCTACGGGTTAACTAAGAACCGCAACATTTGGGTAGCAGCAAATAAGGAAAATTCTAGTAGTGATCATGGATTGTCTATTCTTAGCTTGAGCAGACCTGCCAACTCATCTAGCAAAACGTGTGAAGGGTATGGCCTGCTTGTGGGCGAAAACATCTTCCAAGTAAAAGTAGGTATAAACTCATAGCTTTGCCAAGATGAAACTTTATATACATACACTAAATAATTGATTATTCTTAACATGGAAGGTGAAATTGAAAGCTGTGGAATGATAATCTGTACCTGCAAAGAATATACCCTATTGGCTGCCATGCAAGATCATATACACCACTATCATGTGCATTTGCAATTTCAATCTGAGGAGTTTCATGCCTATAAAGTGGAATGTGTAAATTGGAATGAGTGCATATTAAGCAGGGAATAAAAGATGCTTATTATGTTTGAACAAAGGTTTATATAAAAAGTATTGCAGGGTGACTTGGTGACCCAATTGCCCTTTTTTTGAAAGAAAATAGTGCTGGTTTTGTAAATGCAATCAGATCAAAGTAGTGGTTTTCATCACTTTCATGCACTTCTATGTTTTTTTCTTTAAAAGCTGAAATCTTTTTTTGAATAAGTGCTTCTGCTTAACTTACATATTGGAGATGAAAGCTAAGCAGTGGAGAAGGTGCTTCTGCTTTTCACCCCTGTTCACACAGATTTACCACCACAACTAAAAATGAAAAATCATTAGAGTGATCCCCCAATTAGAAAATAAAAATCTAGAGGCAAGAAATAAAAAAGCTGAAAATGATCTTCTGAAACTTAAAAAACAGATAATAATCACTAAACCCCTCCAAACATAAAAAAGATAAGCTACTACATATGCTACCATAGCACAAGAGACGACTTTGTTTATCAATAATAAAGAATATATCTATAATATTGTCAATTTCAACTAATACTCCATAAATATGTTAAGTAAATGCAAATACCTCCCAAATTTGGAGCCAAGAACTGAAAATTGAAGAGCAGACCTAGTAGCAGATAGCAGGGATCAAATGAATAAGCCAACAC